TGTGTGTGTGTGTGTGTGTGTGTATTGCTGGGAATTATTTCATCTTTGTTTAATAATGGCAAACAAAAAAGATGTAATAATTCACAGCGTCGCTTGTACTTTGTGTTAGAGATAGCAAGCCCGCGAGCGCGCGCGCATTGGAGACGAGCGGAGAGCGCCGCGAGGCGGAAGGTTTTGTTAGAGCGAGCGAGGGAGCGGGACGGAGAGTACTCGCACGAAAAAGATTCTGTAGACGTGTAAGCAAGAAGCACGTCGTGATATACGCAAGTAAACTACAACCAAAATCCAAAATACAGTCCACTCATTTACACCCAAGAAAATTGGTCCGTCGAGGCCGGATTAGCGAGTCCAGAAATACGAAAAGCAGCAAGACAACTTGGAATCAGCAACACGAAGCGAAACGTAACAACAAGGTTAGGAAACGAAACGACACAAAGGTCAGTAAGAACAAGAAAGATACCTGCTCGTGAATCCATTCTTATATCGTCCAATCACATAAAATTGGTCACGATGAAAAAACTGATAGCAAAGCGAACAAATGCCAAAGGGCAATTAACACAATTCATTAGATTTGTAGACGAGATAACGGATGATCAAATAGATCAGATTCCAGACAGAATTCGAAAGGTAGAGAAAGTGTACGCGATATTCGACGAAGTCCAGCGAGAGATCGAGGAGTTAAAAATAGAAGAGTTCGAGGATAAAGAATCAACGCCGTCGGAAGAGGAAGAGGATCGAAAGAGGTTAGAAGAAGAATTAACAGAGGAACGAACGACATTCGAAAATCGATATTTCGCCAGTATAGCGCGAGCAAGAAGACGACTTCCCCCGATCGTAAGTGAAGTAACGAACAATATCGTTACGCAACAACCGCAAAGCACGCGAACAACAGTCAAGCTACCAACGCTTCAATTGCCGAAATTTGACGGTAATTATAATCAATGGTTACTATTCAAAGATACGTTTTTGTCGGTGATTGATTCGAATGATAGTCTATCAAAGATTCAAAAATTCCAATACTTACGGAGCGCACTAAAGGGCGAAGCGTTGAATGTGATACAAACTCTCGAGACAACGGAAGCAAATTACGACATAGCTTGGAATTTGATCCGGGAGCGGTATGAAAATAAGAAATTAATCATAAATACGCATCTTAAAGGACTATTTGATATATCGCCCATAACCAAAGGCAATTATAACAGTTTAAGGCTTTTTATAGATTCAATCCGTACACATCTGAAGGCTCTTGAAACTTTAGGACAGGACGTAGAGAAATGGGACACGATTTTGATTTACCTAATAAGTGGTAAATTAGATTACGTAACAAGACGAGATTGGGAACTACACGCTAGTAAAGAAGATTCGAACGCACTTCCGAATATGGATCAACTCTTCGAGTTTCTCACAAACCGAGCTCATACACTGGAGTTAGTCGATAACTCGAAAGACAAGTCTGGAGGCGAAAAATCTTTCAATTCAAAGAAAATTGAGAGAAAGGTTAATCTTGCAGCTACCACAGCGATAGTTGCATGCAGCTACTGCGAGGGTGCTCATACTCTTTACAAATGCGAAGAGTTTTCCAAATTACCGGTAGAAAAGAGAAGACAGGAAATACAACAAAGACGCCTATGTCTGAACTGCTTACGAAGAGGACATTATGTGCAGGAGTGTAAAGCAACCTCTTGCAAGCACTGTAGCGAGCGGTATAATACATTACTACACATCGATAAGGACGGTCAAGAATTCAAATCAAACTCAATTAAGAACGAAGCACCAAAGCAAGAAAAGAAAGCTGTATTGACAAGCAGTGTACTTTTAAGAAGCACCGAAGGCGATGATCTTACAGATAATGATCAACAAGAAAAGAAAAATAGTGGAGAGGCCACAGTAATAAATCACGTAGTTCATCGAAATTCTGGGACAGTCTTTCTGGCTACAGCTCAAATCCACGTTTACGACAAAGAAGGGAGACTAATACAATGCAGAGCGATATTGGATCCTGGATCGCAGTCCAATTTGATGACGATGGATTTAGCAAAGAAACTAAAAATCCCGATAATAGAAAGCAAACTTCCACTCAGCGGAATTGGAAAAGCAAGAACTAATACAAGAACAATGGTACGCGTGAAGATCAAATCTATACATACTTCATTTACATCCGAATTTGAATGCCAGTTGATGCCGATAATTACTGAAAATTTACCGCAAGTTTATGTGGACACCACGATATGGAATGTTCCCAGACACATTAAACTCGCCGATCCGACGTTCAACACTCCTGGGAGCATAGATCTACTTATTGGAGGAGCGCTGTTTTGGCAGATACTATGCATGGAGCAAATAAAACTTCATAACAAGCTACCTACCTTACAGAAGACTATGTTGGGATGGGTAGTAGGAGGAGAGATAGTAGGTCGCAATACCGTAAGGCAACCGCAAACGTGTCATTTACTTACCAAATTGGACAAACAACTCGAGAAATTTTGGATCATCGAGGAAGGGACGGAACAACCACATCTATCAAAACAAGAGCAATATTGCGAAGAGTTTTTTAAGAAGACTGTACCTCAGAACGCAGAAGGAAGATACATCGTTCGTCTACCGAGAAACGAGGATACGAAAATAGGATCATCAGAGGAGTTTGCAATGAGACGCCTATACTCGATGGAAAATAGAATCAAGAAACAACCTGATATACGGAAGGCTTATAACGAATTTATGATCGAATACGAAGCTATGGGACACATGACGCCAATACAAAGAACAGATAATTCAACAGAAGAAGAGGCCTTCTACCTACCACATCAACCGGTCATTCGGACAACGAGCCTGACAACGAAGCTTCGAATCGTTTTTGATGCGTCGGCCAAGACATCAAACGGGACTTCACTAAACGACATGCTACTGATAGGCCCCAATCTGCAGGGCGACTTATGGAGTATTATGTTACGATTTCGATGCCACCAGTATGTCATGACTGCCGATATAGCTATGATGTTTCGGCAAGTTATGGTATCAGAAGAAGACCGACATCTACAGCGAATACTTTGGAGAGAAGACACTGATCAGGCCGTTCAGACGTACACGCTGAATACCGTCACATACGGCACGGCATGCGCACCATACCTAGCAATGCGATGCTTACGGCACCTCGCGGAAGGAGAAAAGAAGAACTATCCAGCAGCAGCCAAGATTCTAGAAGATGACTTCTACATGGATGACGTATTGACCGGTAGTGATACGATAGAAGGGGCGGCAGCTTTGCAAAAGGAGCTCTCAGAGTTGCTGGCAAGAGGACAATTTCCGTTACGCAAATGGCGATCAAATGATTCAAGAGTACTACATCATCTAGCGGAAGATCGAAAAACGGACGAACTTCTTGTTTTGGATAAGGAGGAACCGCTGAAGACACTAGGTCTTCTCTGGAATTCAGATCAAGACGTTCTGCAATACAAGATCACGGTGACTAACAAACAAAAAATGAGTAAACGTAACATTTTGTCACAAATTGCAAGTATCTATGATCCTCTAGGTTTAATTAGGCCAATACTCATTACGGCAAAAATCACAATGCAGCAACTCTGGAAGATAAAATTAGGATGGGACGAGACAGTACCAGACGAGATATCAAGGGCCTGGACGAACTACTATCACGAGACACGGTAGTGTCTCGCGCCAAGTGTAAGCGAAGCTAGTACCACGCGCGCGAGACCGACCGTGTAAGTTTACGCGAGTACACGACTTGACGGGCCCTCAGATTTTTTTTTCTCAACAATGGCTGATCCCACGAACTTGAGACTGCGCTTAATCGACAGCTTGGGTACGATTTGCATAATAAAACTATTTTTACTTTTTTCCTACGTGCCCCATGAGTAGAGATATTGCAATGCAAAGTCCACGAGTCTGAATTTTCACGTAATTTTTAAAGCTCCAACGACCGAATATATTTTGTTACTCTATCTTTTTTGCATCTCTACAAAAATATCCTCACTACAAAACTATCTTCTCTACAAAAGTAATGATATCATCAAATAGCGCCAATTAAACTAAATAGTTTTAAACGTGGTGCATTATGCGCATCATGCGTGAAACGGAACGCACTTGTGAAGTTTATGTGCATTTTGACAGATTAGGTTAAGTTAGGTTATTTACATTCCCCCCCCCCCCCGTGGAGCGCCACCTTGTCGTGGTGGGGGGGCTTAGGCGGGCGCTCGACCGGGAGCCGTCTGTGTGCCGCTTTAGGCTCCGGCGGTTCCTTAGGTCGGGCGTCCGCTGACCAAGAGCGCTCCGATAGACCCTCCGTGACTCATTGCACGCCGGTGTTCCGGCAGAGTTGCGGGGGGGTGGCTCTCCCGTTGCTGGGCTGGACGTGGTCCTGTCTCGGCGGCGGGGGAGGGCCGGACCCCGGAGGTAGTGGGACGTGGTCCTAGCCGAAGGGTGGGCCGGCAGTGAGGGGCTGGACTCGCAGTTACATGCGGGCCCGGCGACGGACAACGCGGGCCGGCACCCCCTGTGTCTCGGGGCGACGTCCTTTTTGGGACGTGCGTCCTGGCATGGGGGACCGGTCCCGCACCGTCCGCAACGAGGCGACGGGCTGCCGGGGCCGCTCGGACGTTTCCGAGGCGGGGCTCGGTGGCCCGGGGCCCTCCGGAGCCGCTGGGACGTATTCCCAGGCGGGGTCCGGGGGGCCGGAGGCGGGGGGCTGTCGCTGGGGTTGGGGGTGTCTTTCTCCCCTGGCTTGCGGCGGCAGTCCCTCGGATGATGGGGCCTTCTAGGGGGTCACGTCCCTAGTTGTCCCCAGCCGGGGAGGTTCTTGCAAGGCCCCTTGCGTTCTGGCGAGGGCCTGCCCCGGCGCGAGAAGCGTGTTGCCGGTCGCCGCGGCGGGCAAGGTGGAGGGGGGACGGGCCTCCCCCGACACCCCATCCGTCCGCGGGGCCCCCCGCATGGCGGCACTCCTGCGGTGCCCGAGGGGTCGGAGCTTCGGGACCCCTGAAAGCCACTCTTTGGAGTGGTGAGTAGGGGGCTGGAGGCCAGTGTCGGTGTGCGCGTTTTCCCGCCGACCCGTGCCATATCCCAGCTCCCCGGGTGAACTCGGGGCCTCCCAAGTCTGGGAGGGGGGCATGCCCTGGCTGGGGCAGCCGCAGGAGTTAGTGGGATGAGACCGAAATGGCGACCATAAACAAAACAACGGAGAATAAAGACCCAAACCCTCGACCTTAGCGGGGGGAAGAGGGAGAGGGGACGCAGTCGAGAGTGGGAAGACGGCCGAGGCAGGTTGGAAGGAGGCCGATCGGACCCTCTCGGAGGACGAAAGGAGGGACAGGGAGGACTGGACCGCGTGGTGGTTGCTTTATATGGAGGCACACACCTCCAAGCAGGAGGGGAGAGAGGGGTTCGAGAGCGATCTGCTGAAGTGGCAGACTCTCACCCCCTTCGAAGCTGGAGGTAAGCTTCTCGCCTCGGCTGAAGACTGGCGCAGCTACTCCCTGGAGGAGGCAGACGAGGAATGGTGGCGGCGAATGCCGGAGGAGGATAGGGATGAGCTGAACACCTTCGCCAAGGAGGTGTGTGTCGGAGCATTCCACCTGGCTGGAGAGCTGGCGGCCTCACGGGAACGGGAGGAGATTCTCGAGGAGGAGACCGTGAAGCTGAAGGATCTCCTCAAGGAGGCCTTGGCGGGTTTCGAGGAAAGCAGGAAGGCCGACCTTGAGGCCAGACAGAGGAATGAGGAAGAACGGAGGGCCCTGGAAGAGAGAGTCGAGCAGTTGGCGGCTCGACTGGCGGAGGTCCAGATGGACTTCTCCCCCATGGCGAAGGCGAAGCCCGTCATGAGGGAGGTGTCCGTGCAGACGGCGGTGAGGAGTGCCCCGAACACCGGGGGTACCGCCCAGGGAGTGCAGGAGGAGGAGGAGGTGGGGACGCCAAGATGGGCGAAGGACCTCAGGCGGGAGGTCTCCCGCACCATGGGCGCCCTAGCGGAGAGACTGGGGACAGTCGAGAGGCAGCTCGACTGTACTGCCACCCAAGGGAGGATGCCTCCGAGCAAGGGAAGAGGGAAGGGTGGGGAGGAAACCCCCGCTCTCCCGGCACTGAAGCCGGAGAGGAGAAGGAAGGCGGCGCGGCTCCTGGCGGGGGAAGACAGCGGGATGGCTGTACAACCTCCGCGTAGCCCTCGGGGGACGGCTGCAGTAGCCATCACGGTCCCTGACGGGACAAAGGAGGAGTACGCCGCCGTCCTACGGGCCGCGAGAGATAAGGTGTCTCTCGACGGCCCGGGGCGGGATGGCGTGAGGATGAGGAGAGCCGCTAACGGGGGCCTCTTACTGGAGGTCCCCGGCAGTGACCAGGCGAGGGGGGCGGATACCCTCGCCAAGGAATTGGCGGGAGCCCTAAAGGGCACTGGTGCCAGGGTGTCCAGGCCCGGCAAGACTGCTGAGGTGCGGGTGGCCGGCCTGGACGACTCTGTCACAGAGAGGGAGCTGATGAAGGCCATACTGGAAGTGGAGGAGGTAACCTGCGGGCCCGGGGAAATCAGCATCCAAATGCTGCCCCAATACCCCGGCAGGATGGGTGTAGCGTACGTACGGTGCCCTGTGGACGCCGTGCGCGCGCTCGCCTCTAGGGGAAAATTGAGGGCGGGATTCGCCTGGTCGACGGTTTCGAGGGCGAAGCCCCGCCCTCAAAGGTGCTACCGATGCCTCGAGGAAGGGCACCTCGGGCAGCGGTGCACCAGCGCGGTGGACCGCAGTAAGCGGTGCTACCGCTGCGGTGTAGTCGGGCACCCGGCGAAGGGATGCACGAGAGAGGCCAAGTGTCCGCTTTGTACGGACCTTGGTATCCCGGCAAGCCATAAGCTGGGAGGAGAAGGATGCGGGAGGACTCCCCCCCAAAGGGCCGAGGCCCAGAGGGGATAAGACTCATCCCCCCGTGCGACCCCCCATAAGGGGAAAGAAGAGGAACAAGGAGCCCGACTCTCTGGAAGAGGGGTCGGACTCCTCATCGGGGAACACGGTGCTAGTGTCCCCTGAAAGGAGACAGCCGGTACCAGGGACAGCGGCGTTGAAGTTTCCCATCAGACTGTGGAGGCCTGATGAGGGGGACAATGCTGGTGCTGGCGGGGACGACAACATGGATGTGGTCCCATAGGAGTAAGGGTGGAGAGGGAGGTATCCCTCTCTCCATCCTGTACACACCTCCCCCCCAGCGTGACGAGGAGAAGGGGGATTAGGGGGTCTCTTGGCGTCCAGGTCCCGCCGTGTAGAATAGGCCTGGGGTATCTCCTGCCTTTCGTAAGAGGCGAATAAAAGGAGAACTGCCAGGAAGTCCGTACGGACCCCTGGTGGGCGGGCGTGGGCTGGAGACCCACGACCCGCCCGCCCCCACCAGCAAATAGGGGGCGCGGCAGGGGCCCGGTGGCACCCCTGCCGCGGCGCAACCAAACGCGCAAATAGGAGAATGCCCAACCAGGGCATGGTCCGAGTCTTGGACCGAGAGGAGCGCGCGAGTAAACAGCGCGTGGCGCCGAGCCGACCGGCAGTACATGCGACAGCAGTCCCCGGTCGGCTCAACATGGCGCAGAGAAGACCACCCCCGGTGGGTTTAGTGCGGTAGGCACCCTCCATTGCACACTGGCCTCGGGTCGTCAATTGCCCGAGGTACAGGGAGGGTGAGTCCCACACACCCCCTCGTCCCGTCCCAGCGGGGCGGGGGGACGGTCCATGAGGATTCCCCCGGGTTACCAAAAAAAAAAAAAGGTTATTTACATCCCAGCTAGCAAACCGTCACAGTGTTTGATGTTGCCTATTTATAATTATATATAGGGTGGTCTAAAAGTCCCGGAACGGTTGAATATCCCGAGAAATTGTGGGTGGATC